TTAGTTTAATGACCAAATTAGTATAAAGATAGAGAGAGAGCAAAGTTTAGGACCTATTTGGTTAAACCGCAAGTTTATTAGAAAAGCTTTTATCATAAAAGTAATTAAGAAAGTAATGAACAGAGTGTCAAGAAGTATTGTATAAAAAGTTACTAAGTTTTGTAATGAAATTTTGTTAGAATTTTGTTAAGTTATAAACTTTGTTGTGTTTGATAAAAAATTGATATAGAAAAAGTTAATAAAAAAAGTTATTAAATGGGTCCAATATAGGAATAGATATAAGGAAACTTTTTCTTCTCCAAATAGGTGAAAAGAAAATTTTATGAGTTGAAAATTGTCTTAAACAAAATAAAGGTTAAAAATACCATTTTCACCCTCATTTTGTTGTAATATTAATATGTGAAAATACATAAATAACTTTATAAAGAAGAAAATTTAGAAAACTTTAGAAAAAAAGTTTCTTAACAACTAAACACCTCTCTAAAGTTTAGGTACCAAAATCAACATTTAACCCTTTTTTCGTATACGAGGAATTAATTTTTTAATATTGCATGTTTTGACTTTTGAATTATTCCAAATTTAAATGTTTAAATAAGTGGATATTAATTATAAACTAACAAGTAAAAGGAAAAAAATATCTATTAAAAGTGGATTAGATATATCTACTTTTGCCGACAACAAAAAAAGTCCCTAACTTTTTTAGCCGGTATAAGTTCCTATTTTTGAAACTTTCATTTCTCACCATTCACGTCCCTTGCCGTTAAATAGAAAACGGTTATAGGCCCACAGCATCAAATAGAACAAGCAAAAAGAATCTAAAATTTAAGTTAGGGATTAGTCACTCATTTTTTTATGAACTCTAATTGGAACACACTGCATCATATATTTTTTAATAAATTATTATTTTTTAGTATCAAATTAAAGATAAAAAATTTAAAAATGTAATCATGTATATAAGATACAGGAATTAGTTAAATTGACTATAATTTTATTACATTTTTAATAATTAAATTAGACTAATGTCAAAAAAATATATTAAATTGAATATATACCAATATTTTCCTTTTTTAATTTGTTGCTTACTTGTGGCCTGCCTTTTAACATTCAATGTTAATCAAGAATATAACTCTATGGATTTTTTTAAGGGTACAAGTTAAAAGTATTTTTTTATAATAAATATGTATAAAAAATATAAAAATTGATATTAATTTTAGTATCAGATAAATTTAATTGGACAGTTGATAAATTTAAAATTGACTTTTATTTTTTAATATAAATTTATAATAAAAATATATATTTAATACATTCTTAATCTAAATTAAACAAACCCTAACTCTATTTAATTTAATTGTTAAGTAATAATTGATCGTTGACAAATGTCTAAACCAAACAGATTTAAGTCCTTCAGTTCACACCCTAATAATAAACCATTGATATAATCAATGTGAAGAGACCCTACATACTGGCAGATGTGTATGCTTTTAGAGCTAACTCAATTAACGGGCTTGAAATGTATATTTCTATCAATTTCCTTCCTCTCCCTAGCTTTTTCCATGATGTTAATTTTTTTGAACAGAATGTTGTGATTGTGGTGTTTCAGTAAGTCACGTCCAGATGAACTCTCAGTTTATCAAATCATGTCCCCCATTATTGTACTTCCCCAAACAGCTCCCAACAATTGCGCCAAATTAAAACACTCCACACACTACCCTTTTTGGTTCAGTAAAGCATATCCCTCAAACCCCTCACTTCATCTGGAGGTGTTTGCCTAGTACTGCTTACCACTTGTGTCGTCCATGCCATTGGTCTAAAACATTCCAAGGTGCATGTGTCTGCCTCCTGTTGGCCCGTATTGAGCATCATGGATGCTTCCTAATAGTCTGATCTGGACCCATGTAAGCTGGAAAACTGTTTGTTTTCTTTCCTACAGGTCCACTTAGATTTAGGGTATTGTTCAAGATCTTATCCTTGATAATTATCTTTCAAGATAAGGTTTAGGGCTACTCCTTGCCATTCTTTTGCATGGCAATTGGACATGATTAGACACATAGATTTTGACATGAAATTCAATTACCCTCCGATTTTCCATGGGATGATATGGATAACATCCCATAGTGGGGTTTAGATCTTGAAATGGGAGATGATATTAGGAGTAGAATAATCATGTATCTTTGTTTCTGTAAAACATTATTGATCAGTTTGTAGTTAGCTCCCCTTCCATGAAGAATGGGGTTACCCCGTGTAAAACGTTATATCCTTTAACATCAAGTAACAATATCAAAACTAAGTATTTAATTTCAAGAAATTGTTCAAGTTCCTAAATTATGTGATCCTCATTGAAAGCACGGTAACTAGTAAGAGAGCTCCTTGTTTATGAAATAAGGTTGAAATGAAAGGAATGGAGAAGCTATATCCACAGCAGGATTTGGTGCATCCATGCAAATCCTGCTTTAGTGAGAATATATGTATGGAGTCCCATTGACTGTATTTTTCTTAAAGAAAGTTGTATCCTACTCCCTTGGATATTAATAGTTGAAACAATTTGAGTTTGATTAAGAGTTACAGAAGTTTGATGATGCTGCAATTATATTCTACATAGAATTTGTGATATATATGCCTATGTCTCTCAATATGGGATAGGATACCCTTTTCAGGCCAAGTGTCATCTAAATAAAAAAAAAATGTTGTGCAATCAGGACTATATAAATTAAATCATTAGAGGAGACAAGACTCCCTCAGGGCTATCATCCTATTCAACAGTTTTTTATTTAACGGTCCAAACTGCAAAGGCAGAATCTCTATCAGAATTAGCTTTCAATTTAGAGACACTGGATAAAGTACGCACGATCTCTGTTGAAAGCATAGGAGGTGAGCTTTCCGCGTTAAGAGATAAGGTGAATGTGATTGAATGAAAGAAAAATTGATGCTTACTTGAAAGGACAGAATGTGATTTTTGGAAGAAATAAATGGGTTGAGTTTGATCATTTGTTGTACAGGTTAGATGGGATCTCCAAAAAAGTCTTCTGTTCTCATCAAAGAAGTGAAAAATAATGGTGTTGAGAAAATGATGGTTTATGTGGCCTTGTGGGGCTTCGCAGCAGTAGAAGATAAGGGTTCATGTTTGTTACTTCATCTGGAACTGCTTAAAGTGAAAAGCTGGTGACAATGATCGGTAATGGCCGGCAAATGTTATTTGGTAAAGGTGGACAGTACTGAAACTTGAATGATCTTGAGGTGTTTGATGAAATGCCCAGGTGGGTGTGGACCCTTGGCTAAGACTTCAAAGTACACATGAAAACCCCATGTGGTTGTCCTGAGACGAACAAGAATATCTGAACATATGTGTATAAATTAGGTCTGCTTTGCTAGCTCCCATGTATGCCAGGTAAAGATGGGCAAAAGAGTTGGCAAGTGGAAGAGAATGCTGAGGCAACAGAGAGCGAAGCTCTATATCATCAGAGTCTGCATTACTATGCTTCTTTGTTGGGACAAGTACTCCTAGAGAAAGTAACAGATGATATTTTAGCAGAAACTATCTCTTGTATGTAAAAATATGTAGTGTTGCTCATACTTCTCTGTTTTCCTTTTGCTTGACTGTTTGCGCTTGTATGGCTTAGCTAGTTATCTGAAACAGCTTCTCCATTGCAGAAGTTAAAGCTAGACCAAATATATATGTATATGAGTTTCCTGTTTTGCAGTCTAGACTGCAAAACATAACCACTGGATGGGGAAGGCAGCTCTCAATGCCCCTATTCAATAGTTTAAGTTATGCAGTCCAGACTGCACAACATTGTTTTGTATGTATACATAGGCTTTCTGAGAAGAGCTTTCAGATTTTCTAGAAGCTGAAGCTGCTAGTAAAGGGTTCATGTAGTAGACGTTTGGGTTTTATAAAATTTCGCGAGTTTCTAAAATTACCCTTGATGATTTTACATACATCTTATAAGACGGTTGTTCTTGAATTCTGTTTGAAATTATACTTTTAATAAGCTTCAACTGGGTCAAATTGGTCCTCAGTTCATATTTGCTTCAATCTTGCAGAATTGCATTAATTAAGGATGAAAATTCAGGACCAAAAGTATGTTGATATTCATGAATTTACTTGCTTTATTTTTAGGAAAATGATTCGCCTACAATACTACATGTCAATAATTAAATCAGATCTTTTTATTTTGTAGCATATGTCAATCCACATGCATCTATTCATTTAATGTCACATAAAACTATACAACAATGAATAACGCTCACTTTTCTCAAATCCTTCCTCACTATCTCAAGATTGAAACTTGAGATTTCACCTTAATAAGTGAAACTTGAGTGCATGCATCTAAAGCCTATCTTTAGAGTTATGTATAATTGATGACTTGAAAGCAACTAAGCATATTTGATTACATGGGGGCAAACATCATGCCTACAGCTGCATGTTGCATGCTAATATTCTTGTTCAAGCTTACACGCATGCTGTTGAAGGGGTCTCCATTATTTTCCTTTTTCAATTCATACACACTTCAATATTGTATTCATCCGTTGTTTATTTCTTGCAAGTTTAGAACTTCCCAAAGAAGTGTTGTTTCACGAAAACAAAACCAATGTTGAGTATTCTATGATATGTATTAGACAGTGCCAATTTTGAATTTTCAGAGATATATTAAGTGGGAAGGAATCCATCCAGCCAAAGGCATCCTGAAATCAGGGCAGGGGGTGGGGCTGTTTTGTACTAGAAAACAGGAAGTGGGACAAAGAGAGAACAGGGGATGGTCCTGGGTGCATTAAGATAAGCGTTTATGGACAAGTCGTTTTCCAGGGTGATATAGCAAGGAGACAAAAAACCTGCCTTGTCATTTTGTTACAATGGGATACCAACAAAAGCAGCACCACTTCCTCCCCCACCACCACAAGTTCTATGTTTTTCCTCTATAAAGTGCTCTGTGTTAAGGTCTTCTTCACAAAGGAATAATCTAACATAACATGATCAACATGGGAGGAAGCTCAGAATCTACAGGGAGGAGGAGTGATAAGCTCTTATCATGGAGAAGGTGCTCCAGGGCAGTTAAGGAGCAGCGGACTCGGTTTTACATCATCTGGAGATGCACAGTGATTCTTCTGCGCTGGGACGAGTGATATTCAAGGGTGAGATGGAATTTTGTGTTGCTTGGTTGCATAATTTATACGCCTGCTGTGTTGCTTTCTAGGAATTTTAGTTTGGGAACGGTATATGTATGCAAGCAAGCCAATATGCAGGGGGTAGTTGACAGGCAGAAGGTTTGCCGGGGCAGTGTAAATTGTCAAGTTTTGTAAGATAGGTTTTACATTTTTGCTTAATCCCTTGTCTCCGTCTGGGTGTGATCATGTCCAATTCTGTAAGATGAAAAATTTTGTGAATAGATGATATGAATTGTCAGATAAAAGCACAGTAAATCCAGAATTTTCATTTGCATTTTGCATTCATCAATTTTCTTTGGTTTTACTTGAGTGTTTAGTAGGATATAATAAGTGAATGAAGAGGGTATACCCTTTGGAAGAAATCCATAGGGCATGCATGATCTGATAAGAGATGGATCTACTTTCCATCTGATTAGAAAGCCACTCCAGTTTTTTGTAGTTATAAAACACCAACAGATTGATGCAGCCTATTCCATTTGATGTTGTATGTTGAACTTTGTCCAGTTTAAATTGCACAACACATTTTTTATTATAAAATTACAGAGGCAAAACAAATAATAGAGATGATTCCCATGGTTTGGAATTGGGGGAGTACAGCTAAAGCACAAACACATTAACACCTGTACAGATTTTTGGAAACAGTTCCTTTGGGATAACTGCTTCCCTCAGAATTCAGATTTCTATTCATAGTGATGGACTGGCTTGCTTACAATTCATATCATTGCGGGACAAATACATCAGAATAATGCGTAACGATTAGCTGTTCTCTTGGTTCAATTAATACCCAAATATGTCCTAGGCCTAAAGGATTTGAAGAATCAGTTCATTTTGCATCATTTTAATTTTCCATCTACACTTCACACCTTCTCTTCTACCTCTTCTTTATGGAAACCAAAAATACCCTCTGCTAGTCTACTTTAGTAGGACTGGCATCTGCTGATCATCCCTTGTTCACAACATGAGGCTCACTGGTATTTGAGTGAAACCTAGTAGAATTTGAATCAGCCTCAGCACATTTCTTTGGGGTTATGCCTGACTTACTTTGAGCTCCCTGGAAACCATATGAAGAACAAACAACATCAAACTCTAGCAACAACTTCTAAAACATTTCTGAGAAATCGTGGGGATCCAAAAAAATAGTGGATTACCAGGGCAAGTTGCACTTAATCTTAATTTCTTTCAAGAAAGGGATGTCTGATTACATGGGGATAGAGTTCCGTAACTTTATGAATATGTTTGATTTTACATGAGTTGGGCAATTACTCCAGTAACCATGTTTCCCTTGATAAGGGTACACATGATCAGGGTTCAGGGACAGCTCTACAGTGGGGGTAGCTGGTCCACTGAGATTCAAATGAATTTCGATCACATTGTGTTTTCAATTAATATGAAAGTAGGAAAAGTGTTTAGAAGACAAACAGTAAATACAGTGAAATAACTAATGAAACCATGGCCTAGTAGTTAGTTAAAGGTACTAAAACCACAAATTTGTATTATACAAATGATTTGATATGTTGACTTACAGTTGCTTTATTGCCAGTTAACCTCCGATTTGATGGTGCCCTTGCCACTGAAGAAGCAGCAGCAGCCGCAGCAACACGAATTCTGCAAAAAGAAATTAAAGACAATGAGCATTCATTTTCAGTGTTTTTAAGATAATTAGATAAAGTTCTAGCTACATTACCTCTTATGGACATCAACATATTCGTCTGTTTCATCCACAATCTCCTCCTGCATTGGTAATGAAACTCAGCATTAAAGCAAGAAATATAAAAATTAAACAAAGAGAGGTGTCAAGGCCTGCAGTTCACCTGTAGAAGTTCTTCAAATACATCTTCTAGAGTGATGATACCGATCACTTCACCATCCTCAATATCCTCATATGTATAAGTTAGTCCATTAGTTGCTGCATCTTGCTTGTTACCGCTAGTAGGCCTTGAAGCCTTGTCAATGTCAATAACAACAGAATATGGCTTCTCATCTGGCTTGGATAGTAAAGGAGTAGTCAGTTGGGAGTCAGCACTAGGAAATTTGTTTTCTTCATGTTTTTCCCCATCAATCATTGGAGGGGGATTCTTGCTTTTGCCTTTGGGCTTCACAACAGCCGCCATATGACTGCTTCCCTTTTGGAACTCATTTAATATGTCATAAAGAGGCATATCAGCTGGAACCCTGAAGAAATGTTTCAGACACAAATGCTTGATATTGGATAATTATTACTTGAAAAAGTAATAACAAAATCTACTGGTAAACTGGTAAACAGGCAAACCTAGGAACTCTCCTGATGGAAACAGCACTAACAAGGGTCTCAGTTTCAGGTCGCACAGTGAGAAGACTTTTCACCTAATTCCAAACAAGATTTGTGAATGAGAAAAAAGTGAATCAACCAAAAGCAAAAACAGCAAAATCATTCATACCAGGAATGAATTAATGGTGCAAGACTTTGCCTAAATTGCAAGTTCTAAACAGTTACCAGTAGAAGTCCAATAATGTTTTTTGGATTTCCAGAATAGACAGGGACACGGCTATGACCTCTTGCAAGAATCTTACCCATAGCCTCCCTGTTATTTAAAAAGAAATTTGTTATCTAGTTGTTTACTTGTTTCTAAAACTTCAACTGGTATCACACAATCCAGTTGCAAAGGAACAATCTAAGCAATTGGCATTTATAAAAAAGACTACTGATATTTCAAAAAATATCTATGACAAGGTAACAATGACCCAGTCACTAACACAGTGGTGAACATGCCTGTACAATGGAGCTATTGCAGATGAACAGACTGCATGTATAAGTAGAAGATGATTGATTGAACACAAGTTAAAATGATATATGGAGTTAAGAGGGTTTAAGCTTTCATGACAATGAATACTGATAAGATTAATCAAGTTTTCAATACCCTGCTTGATATGGCAGTATTGAAGGAAATGGGGAACCAATTTATAAATCATTCTTATCATATAGCAAAAGTTAAGATATTGCAGATGAGGCAGAAAGGATAAATTGAGGAGCAAAGACTTACCAATCCAACTTTGAATTGACATCTAAAGAGAAAGTTGATTCAATAGGTGTCATAGCCTCCTCTGCTGTCTGTTCAAATATTTAAAATAAGCAGAAAAAATATTATCTATAGGAAAATAAATGATGATCCAACTGACATAGTTGTTCCACAATTCATTATATCAGAGAAGTCACAGCGATAGAAATAAATGTAGGCCAAGTTCTGATCAATTATTTAAATGAAGTAGAATACATATTATCTATAGGGCAGGAATTGTAATTGATGATCAAATTGATATAGGTGCTCCAGAATTAATCATATTGTAGAAGCTGCAGTGATAGGAAGAAATGTAGGCCAAGTTCAGGGTTATACACATTCTGAATAGCATTTAGCCAGTTGAGATCAGAAATTTTATTTTCATAAAATAAAAGGCAAAAAATTCAGTAATTAAATATAAAAAGAAGAAAACCGGAAAAAAAGAAAAAAAAGAAAAAAAAAAAAGGCATCAAGAAGCTTTATCTGGTCGAAACCATACCTTTTCAGTCAAATCTAGTGCTCCACTAATGATCGTCGTCTCATCATGAGTAAGTTCACCTCCCTTTCCAGCCTGAATATATTGTATGGGGGGAAAAGGCTTTGTTATGGTGCAATAGGATATTGAGATAGTCACAACATTTTTTGAAATTAATCTAATAAATTTTAAGTCCAAATTGATTTTCTTTTTTTTTTATCAGCAAATAAAATAGTCCAAATTGAATTACATTACCTCCTGGCTGTGGATGGAGACCAGGACTTTTAACTGAGCCCGCCTAAATAGTGCTTCGTTATGTCCTAGTGCCCAGTCCAAAATCTGGAAAACATGTAGTCTTTAGTGCGAGAATTGAATATCAACTCGAATAGATTATAGTACCCAACAGATGAGATGAAATAAGGCTATCAATAAAATTGCAGAGACGCAAGTTACAGAGTAATCCCAAAAAATAAAAAATAAAAATAAAAACCCATTATTCCTCATGGGACTCTCTCTATCAGAACTGTATCAACTCTGACTTTTGAAGAATCCAGCTTATTATATCATGAAATGAAACACTTCACCTGTGATAATTTATTAACATAAAACGAAAAATAAGTCTATCCTCCTGCTCCCAAAAAAAGAATAACAAAAAAAAAAAAAAAAAGGAAAGAAAGAAAGAAAAGAGGCTATCCACAATTATCATTCTTTAAGTACCTTACATGTTACATCATTGTGAGTAGAAGTTGGAACTACTAATTGATTCTACATAGTGTAGTGATTCTTGGGACCAAAATGAGATTATTTTAATTATGTGGGACCATATGGGAACCACACCATGACCAATGATTTCCATAAATTCGTCCCAAAAATTGGTCCTAACCATCATTATTTTTTTACATAGGGTGCCTAAAATTGAAAAATGGAAAGTTGCACAAATAATATCTCATCGCTAACACAGGTCCTCAAAATATTATCAGGAATTTAGCAAACTGCCACTTAAGTTGTAAATAAGTTGAGATATTTTGTTTGTCAATTGATAGATTAGTGCACAGTTCAGATTTATGTGAAAAGTATAGATCCCTAGAGTAAGTACTGAGAAAAGGACATAATAGATGATGATAACGAATTACAACAGTTCAATTAATCACAAGTCTTTGCATTCACCTTCCCAATGGGATAAGCAATTGGGTAGCAAATAGCCATTAGAATCCGAACAAGCCACACAAAATTTGCACCTACAGCCAATCCATATCTAGTACATATTGATTGTGGAATAACCTGGAAAAATAGAAGGAACCCATTTAGGAAAAGGATACAAAGGTGACTTAAAAAAAAAAAGAAAAAAAGATACCAAGGTAGAATTAGAATCCAACTTAAAAAAGAATGAGTTAAAGGTAAAGTACCTCTCCAAAAAATAGAACAAAAGTCACAGATAATATGATTGCCACATATTGATTGAATAGCTTATCCAAGTATATTGGGAGAGCCTACAGATTTTATTTCAAACAGAACAAAAGATTAAAAAGAACCAATGAAACAATTAAAACTGTATTAATAACTTTTGACAATAAAAATCAGATCAATTACCTCCATTGCTGCTGCATTACATAAAAGCAAAGTCACCAAAAGTTGATGCTGCTTTTGTACCACTGGTAGAATTGCCGCTAATCACAAAGGCACATACAATCAGATCGGAATAATCCAACAGCACATTGAATCGTTTGCTGACAAAACTGAAATCGGAATCAGATTTTCAAAGAATGTGAGAATTACCAGCTTGTTTCTTCTCGGTCGGAGTTCCACTGCGCTGGAGTATTTCGAGCTCGACGAGTCCGAGGGACATGAGGCCGAGAGTGAGGCCGGACATGATACCGGCGAAGAGAACAAGGAAGCAGGAGACGCCTGCATTGACGAAGAACCATACCGATCCGAACGATATTCCCTCCCAGGCGCCGCTTGATTGCGCCGTCATCATCGTCACCTTCGCCGCCAAAACAGCATTTATTGGATGCATACTCTCTCGCTTTGATTCGTTTCGATACGATTCTTCTCCTTTCGAGTTTCGAGTTCGAGAGCGGAGCGCGCGTCACAAAAATCAGAGCGCAAAAAAAGGAAAACAGAACTGAACGATGATGGGAGTACTCAGAGATGACACGTGATGCAAAATGACATGTATGTGGGTCCGTACTGAATCTACGTATCCAACAGTAAAACATTTATGGATCTTTTTGCTTTCTTTGTCTCGAAGAAATAACACTTGTTTTTTTTTTTTCCTTTACAAAAAGGTTAGTATCTTAGAATTATTAAAATTAATAATAAATCTTAAACGAATACTTAATAAAATTTAAAAAAATTTTAATAAATTTTTTAAAAATCTTTTATAATTGGAAAGTAAAATAGGAGTAAT